CGCCCCGGCCTCCATCCCCTGCCCCCACCCCGCCCTGCCACTGCTTGGGGCGCCTGGATCGCAGCGCCCCGGCCGCCGAGAGCCATCTGCGGACGCTGTGCACGGTGGCGCCCGGTTGCTCTACCAGGACGCAGTTTTTTTTTTTTTTTTTTTTTTTCCTTTCCCAGATACAGCTGATCGAGTTCGCCCAGCGGCCGAGTTAAGTGAATGCTCCCCGGACTTGGGTGGAGGAAGGCATGGAAAAGTGTAGTGAAGAAAAAGTGGAGATTTTAAGGGTAGGGGTGAAATAGGAGGGGGAGGCATAAATCGTTCCGCTTTGAAAACGATCGTAGATGGTATCAGCAGTACCTGTCACCAGGTCTTCTTTATAAACAGGAGGTGGATGGTTAAATGCAGGTAGGTTTAGGATTAAAATATAGGTGCCAGAGGTTTTCCATTGGGGACGCAAAAGCTGATGTTAAAAGATCTACACTGACTGAAACCCGGTCCATCAGAAGTCAGAATTCATAGGAAGAATATTCACCCTCCGTTACTTTTAGAAATACTGCTTGGATTGTGGGTAAAATGGCCATTAAAATATATATGCTACAAACCTTTCCCGTCACCTTCTCACCCTGGATGACCAAAGAAATCAGTCCAAAGTAGGATTAGCAGAATTTCGAAGTCTGGGTAACTAACTTGAAAGTTTATTGAGCAAGACATTTCAAACGCCAGCCAGCATCTCGGACTGCAAGGTAAAGCTACAGAAAATTCATGTTGGTCTGACATTTCTTGGATGAAAAATAGCCAGCGAGATTTCTTTAGATAACGTTGCTCTTAAAGAACGCCTTGGGCTTTCAAGTTACACGCTAAAGAGAGCTTCCACTCGCTACTGCTTGCAAGCCCCTTTCCCTGGGCACAGTAAATGGCAGTGCTTTAAGCAGCATTGTGGGCTTAAACACCCTCTAAAACCGGAGGCACGAGGCACGCAGGAGCTGGGAGGCAGGAGTTCATACCTAGGAGATTAGACACTGTTTTTAGGTGTTGTAGGGACAAGTATTTTTCATGTGTCCCTCCAATTTAATCAGATCAAAGGTTGAACTGTGTGTTGTGACAACAGAGTATTCATGAGGTGCATGCATTGGGAGAACACTGACAGATCTGCCATCTCTCTCTCTCTCTCTCTCTCTCTCTCTCTCTCTCTCTCTCTCTCTCACACACACACACACACACACACTCACTCACTCACTCACTCCTAGAACATGTACAGTTGCAGTCTACAATTCATCAAAATGGGAAGAGGATACTAATTCCTCTCCGAGTTAACAATAGCCTTGTCAGTGTATGTGTGTGTGTAAAAATTTACAGCCACTTTTGAAAGATATGTATCCTTGCTCTAGAAAGTGTTACTGAATATGATAAAGCTGTAATGAAATGTTTATTCTAATCCTGTAGTTGTTAAATTAAGAAAAATTTTTTAAAAGAAGAAGGACAAGGAGGAGGAGGACGAGGAGGAGGAGGAGGAGGAGGAGGAGGAGAAAAAGAAGAAGAAGATCAGATCAGCAAGGTTGATGTTGGGATAAGAACATTTACCCGAGCACTCCCCATCCTTCCTTTTCTCCCTTTCACAACCTCCAAACACCCCTCCCCTGGTTGGCAAATAATACTGCCCAGCGCTCAACACATCATTCATTCCTCCAATGGTTGGTTAGTCATTGTATCAAGAGTTCTATTGGGGACTGGGAACTGGAATAATCTGTCAGGATTCCCCTTAGTCAGGGTGGAATATTGGTTGGGTTGCTTCGAGGTAAGCGGGTGTACTGAGGGGGGGGAATTGGCTTATCTAAGGAGGCATCACTTTTCCTTTTTCCATCCCGTTATTTTCTCTTTTACAATCTGCGCGTATAAGTTAGCGTTTGCCTACAAATAAACTGGTAGGGGTAAAGAATATATGTCTTTCATATCTTAAAACCATCTGCTCAGTTTGACATTTAAAAGGGAGGAGGCCAGGGAAGGAAAAGTGTTGGAGGGGGAAGAAAGGAGGTAAGCCATGGCTTGATTCCGCCCTCCAGTTGGTGTCAATCGCATCTAGTGTTTGAACGCGCGTTTTGCACACGCCACGCCTGGGATCTAGCGGCGGGAAAAGTTTCCCCGAGCATCCCCCCCCAATAAGCCCTCTATCGTGCCAGGGGGAAATGCAGGCCCGAGTCGAAGTCAGGGATAAGCCGCTGGGCAAACAAGGAAACTCCCCCACCCGCAGCCTGCGTGGCACCAGCTCGTGGCTCGCCAAGCTCAGCCTGCACTAGGGCGCAGGAGCCGCGCGTGGAAGTAGGAACGCGCGCGACGCGGGCGAGTGAGCGGGGGTGGCTGACCCGGCTCTGAGAGCTGCTCACCGGAGCCCTGTCCAGTCCCCGACTGTCGGGGGTTGAGGCTCAGGCCAGACTCTCTGGCTCGGGCTGCGGCGCTCTCCCGGGTTCCAGCCGCGCGGAAGCTAGCAGTGAGGCCCAAGGCCCCTATCTCGGGAGACGTGCGGTTTGTTTTCTGATTAGGGAAGAAGCGATCTGTCAGCCCGGAGACAAGAAGTCGCCTAGTTACTAGCCCCATCTGTGAAGCCAGTGACCAAGCCTAAGGCCAGCGCAGCCCATTTCTCTGCCCTCCCCTGACGGACAGTTTTAGCGACTTAAAAGGGAACGCAAGTCCGGACCCATCTCCTTGCAGATTGAGTTGGCTTGCTTTATCTAAAAGGTGATCTGTGCGTTATTAATCAAACTTGGGAATTACCCCTTGTGCATCGGGTTCTGGGCTAAACACACTTAGCCTTGACCTTTCCCCGTTGTGTTCCTCCCGTCCTGTTCTTTCTTAGAACCCTTAGGTGGGGGATAGGAAGGGAGGACAGTGCATATGGGTCATTTGACACCTTCCAAGCAGTGGTCATCAGACCCTAAGACCTGTTCTGAGCTTTTCTGCCAGATCCGGTGGAGAGGCAGATGTGGGAGTGGATTTAGTAAAAGGATGTTGTAGGACTTCCCCGGCCCCCCCCCCCCCCCAGCCCACCTACCAGTACCACCCACCTGAGGAAGGAAGACAAGGAAAAGCAACCCGGAGCAGACCCGCCTGTGCAGGTTGCCTAGAGGCGGAGGGACGGTCCGCCTCTCTCTGGCTGTCCTCCCCTGTGCCCAGCATGTCGCTGAACCCAACCTGGATTTGTTCGGAGTGGTGGGGGAGAAAGTGAAATGCCACCAGATCAGTGGCAAGCTGCAGCTGCCGCATTTCTCTCTTGGGAACCCCACTGCTTAGAAGCCTCCGAGTGATGTTTGTTTAACCAACAGCTTTCAAAGTAAACACCAGCGAGTCACTCCAAAGAAGTTAGGAGTCAAGAGGGCTGGCAGAAAAAGTAATTTAAAAAAAGAAAAAGAAAAAAAAGCTCTGTCCCCACCAGAAAAAAAAAGCCTCCACTTTACCTCGAAGGGCACAGAATTGCTATGAACGTATAAATTCATAGAAAAGGTTCATTACAACAAGGTGACCTCAAAGAAGAAAAAAATCACTCGTCCCCCACACCCCCACGGAGATGAGGGGGTTGTTGGTAATGGGGGGTGGTCCAGGACCACTGGATATTAGGGACGTGGATATAAACGAACAAAGAGCGAGGGAGGGCTTCCCCTGCCCGGGAGGAGTAAGGGGCAGGCTGGGAGCGGTTCCCTGTCAGCCCTGGCTTTGCCTCAGGCACCGAACTTTCCAATATCAAGATATTAACAGATGGTGCAGAGCTAGGGAGGGCTGTTTCTTACATAACCAGCCACTCCGCCCGACCGCGCCGAGAGACAGGAGTCCGCCAGGCCCGGTGCGTGCCTTGCGTGGGGGGCTCTTGCCCCCCGAAATCACTCTCCTGTCCCCAACCACACCCAGGCTTTGAGGTCAAAGATTCGTAGAGGCCGTGATTTCAGTTTGAAAAAGAAAAAGAAAAGAAAAGAAAAAATACCACACCAATTGGCTTTCGCCTTATCTTTTTCAAGAACTGGAAAAGCTAGACTCAGATAAGCGGGGGGACGCCTGCGGGGACAAACGGGTGCTGCCCTCATACCTGGGGGTTCACAATTCACACCCACCCCAGCCCCCGACACACGCACCACAGCCACAATGGTTCTGAGCAGTCTGTCCTTTGCTGCCAGTACAAAGGCAGGCAGGCTCAGGCAGCAGCGGCGCGCGAGTGGGGTGCTGGTGAATGTGAGCGACGCCTTTGCACGCGGGGGCGCAGTGGACAAAGTCACGCCAAGTCTCTGGGCACCGCCGCCCTGCCCAGCCCGGGCAGGTTGGTAAGCGCTGATTCCGAGTGGCCATGTGGCCGCCTGCTGCCTCCAGGCCCTGGGCCACCTCTGGAGAGGCCCAACCCCTCCAGGTGCCTGGGTTCCTGGTCCTGTGCGCCTGAGGACCTGCGTGTGCTGGCCGAGCCTCCTCCGTGCACCGTGGCCAAAACCTGCAAGGGACACGCCTGCGTGTGTTGGAAAAGTTTCGGGAAGGGCGGGAAGGCTGGAGTGTGCCTGGCAGGCACTGGGCACGAGCTCGATACCCTCGCCCGCGGTGCCCGCCTGTGTCCCCCCGCCCCCGGATCCATCCTCGTCTCCGCCCAGCGCAAGGTGTCGCGGCCTCCGGGCCGGGGGAGACACCAACCTGATGATGCTGCGGCGGAGGAGCCACGGTTCCCGCCGATCCCGCGGGGGTCCCGGCCACCTGCCCGCTCGCCTGGCCTGTCCCCTCCCGGGCCTGTCCCCACCAGGCCTGTCACCTGCCAGGCTCTACTCGCCGGGGCTCGGCGCACTCAGGGACGCAGAGGGCAGCCACCCGCTCGCGTGCGCCGCCGAGCCGCGAACGTCCCACGCGGTTGGGAGACGTGGACGGTCGCCAGCCCCGCGCTGTCCCCGCCGCGTCCCATTCCCCGCCGCCCGCCTGTTGCTGCGGGGACCCCGCGGTGGAGACGCGCCACAGTGGCGCACACACGGATCCTGAGACAGGGGACTCTCCAGGGACAGCAAGAGGGGCGGGGACGTGGGAAGGGATGGACATCTTCTCTGCCCAGCCTGGCTGCTATCAACAGAGCTGAGGCTTCTTGGCCGGTTTACTCCGGCTTCCTTTTCTTTGGACTTTGGACCCAAAGGTGGGAATTCGAAGGAGGTGCTCGGTTTTCTGCCACTTGGGCGATAGGACTTAAGTTACCCATCCTTACAAAGCTTTGAGGGGAGGGGGTGAGCAGTAAGAAATACAAAGGCAGAGGCCAGGACACCCAGCCACCTAGAAGGCAGCCGGCGGGTTTGAATTTATTCCTGGAGAAAGGAGCTGGGCAAAGTTGCATTTTGTTTAAATTAGAGCCGGACCTAGTTGAAAGCCAGATTTCTATAATTTTTCTGGTAATATTTCTTTTATGAAATATCTAAGTGTCTGTTTGTCATCATTTTGAGATCAAAAGGCAGGCCCATGTGCTGCATACTTTCCCGAAATGCTATTTAAATATGTTTTAAATGTTTTATCCAATGTGGAGGAGGTTGCTCCTTAGAGGCAGCCTGGTCATGGGCTTGGGAGATGGTTTGATGTGGGGCAGGGAGGAGTATATGAAAACCTGCTGATCATCAGAATTGCCCAAGAAGCTAAAAATAAATAAATAAATAAAAATTAAAGATTCCTGAACCCATCCCAGGAAGGAGATCCAAGGGAGGGCCTATGAATCTGGGGTTCACAGTGTGCCACACAGCTCAGGAGTCACTGATTTGCTGTGACTTTGTGTGTTTACCTGTCTGTGCCTCAGTTGTCTTTATCTGCAAAATGGGGATAGTATCCATACCACAGAGTTATCAAGGGGGTTCAACAAAGCAAAGAAGTGGTACCTAGTTTGTTCAGGGATGTGTGAACATGCCCGTCTCACCTTTTCCCTGCAACTTTTGGTGCAGCTAGTTGAACTGACACAGAACCCTAAAGCCCTATGCTCTGTGCTTGTGCAAGTCTAGCTCAGGAAAGCCTGCTGCTAGCTTGAGCATTTTATATGCCCCCCCATACATCATTTAAACCTTACAAAATGAATTGGAATTGGAGCATGCCTGGAAGCTAGGCCTTGTGCTCCAGGGCCTAGAGCTGTTTTATCAGGCCCACAGGAAAACAGGAACCATCTAACAACATGAAACCTACTTCTACTTCACCCTTTTGGACCCCCTCACCCTCCTGCTTCATAGGTGGCAAGCCTTCCCTGTGGAAGCTGTAGGCCAGACCCAAGAAACCACAGGACAGGAAGGGCACAACACGCAGGAAAAATAAGGTCGATACTCCCAAGTAAAATGAAAACAAATGTATGTCACATGTCACGTGTTTTTACATGTTTGAATAAACAACTCTCCTGAGTGCAAAGTAAAATAATAACCCTTCATGAAATTATGTTCAACCATTGAATCCAAGTCGCTGCAAGGCAGCACCAGGGAGAGCCAAGCCAAAGACAGCTGTGAGCCGGGAAAGGAGCCGGCAGGAAGGTGTCATGCCTAGCTGTGACTGTGAGGCAGTTTGAGGGAAGAGAGCCAAGGAAATGAACTAGCTGAACCTGCAGCCACCAGATCAAGACACTGGCCTCTGAGAACAGGAGAGGGGGCCGCTAACCAAACAGTCCAGCGAAAGGTGTCACTAGCACTCTCCCACTCTCCGAGAAGGCTTGAGCCAAAGGGTCCTAGGTTACAGGGGTTCAGAAAGGGACTGCCAGTTTAGGACAGCTCAGGTCTGAGTGAGTGGACCCTTGCGTGTGGGTGGAGGTACTCCCTGCGTGAGGGGAGTGGAGGAAACCTCCCTTCTGTACCTGCCCTGAGATGTTGGTGTATATCTTTGGGCAGTATGGTAGGTTCCTGGCTCTGTAGCTACTCTGTGCTCAGGTAGGGAATGCCTGAGACTCTAGGGGACAAAGTAAAAAGGTGTCCTAAGAGCTAAAGAGGAACTTATCCTTAAGGCCAGGTTGTTGTGAGCTACATGGCATCTTTTGGCTTCTGCTCTGCAAGGTGTTCCTGGTGGCAAGAACACTTTTACCCACACTTCATCTTGTGTGTATGGGGGTAAGGGGGGGCTCAGGGAAAGAGTCGGCAGGGAAGACTCCTTTGCATGGGAGGAAACCTTGGGGTGGATGACATGATGGGGGTAGAGTTTGGAGACAGGACAGGTGGGAGAGGGTGTGATGGACTCTGGAGTACATGTGGGATGGATGGGGTTGCATAGGGGGAGGGTTTCCAGAAGAGAGTGTGGGGAGTGTGGAAGGAACTGGAGGATGCACAACTGGGTGGGTATGCAGCTCAGTTCTGGTCCTGACACGACCCAGGGGTAAGCAGGGTATTGAAGTGGGGGTGAAGGAGAAAATGCAAGGTGGGAGGCTAAATTTGGCCTCAGCTCTAGCCTGGTAAAGGCCAGTGCTTCTTGGCTTCTCTTACCCAGACTTTTTGAAGCTATTCCCTTGCTAATCCCTGTTTGGCTGGAAAAGGACTTGTACCAATAGCTTGCAGCCATCACCTCTGGAGGGTGGACATCCTGGGTTCTTTCATCCTCTGTGTGTGTGTGTGTGTGTGTGTGTGTGTGTGTGTGTGCGCACATGTTTGCAGGAAGCACCTCTGCCCTGTCGTTGACCTCAGCCTGGAGGAGCCTTCACATATTTCTTGTTCCCTGAGACCCTGTATGCCCAGTTTCCTCCTTGCTTCTAAATCAGTCTTCTACCCCACTGAGGCCCAGGGTTGACCTCTCCAAACCGCCAGGCTTTGCTAGATCCAGTCCTCCATCCCCATCACACAGGCAGCTCCCCCTGTTTCCCCCTAGGAATCATGTTCTGTTTGTGGTTCTGGAAGAGTCCACTGGGTGTGATACTCCAAGTGGATTCAAAAAAGGCATTATTTTCTTAGTTCCAGAGAATCCCTACTGGTAAGACCCTGCAAAGCCTAGCATTTGGCAACCCCAATTGAGACCAGTTACTGGATGATTCTGGTGCTGACTCAATTCGAACAGTGATTAGCTGTATTTGATTTGGTCAGCCTTCTGAAACCTTAATTAAGAATTCCATTCTAGAAAAATCTGGATGGGGTCAAAAGTATAGAGACCTCTTCTTAGGCTCTAAAGCAATCTTTGAGTGAGAATACTGAGGTTGCAATAGGCACGGTGACAGTGAGCCATGGCAGCTGCCTGTCACAGTCACAGATCATATCCTCTCGGCCACCCACTCTGTACCTCACACTTCCGTGATTTGCCATTGAAAATGCCACAGGAGGGCTGTAGAGATGGCTCAACTATTAAGAGCACTTGCTACTCTTGCAGAGGACCCAAGCTCAGTTCCTAGCACCCAAGTAGGATGGCTGGTAACTACCCACAACTTTAGCTTCATGTGATCTGAACACCTCTTCTGGACTCTGATGGCAACTGTACTCCAGCACACACAACTCCACACAGAGACACATGCATACGCATAATTAAAATGAAAAGAAATTCTTTAAAAAACCCAGAAAATGCTATAGGTTATAAGAGAGATCATCACTTTGAACATGGCCCTTGGTCTTTTTGAGATAGGGTCTCCCTGCAGCCCCAGCTGACCTGGAGTTCACTGTGTAGACCAGGCTGGCCTTAAACTCACAGAGATCCACCTGCATCTGTGTCCCAAGTGCGAGGATCAAAGGTGTATGCTACAACACCTGGCAATGACACATGGTCTTTGGGATAAAGGGAAGTGTAATGAGCTCAAGTGCTCAATGGATTGTTGAGCATCCTGATTGCAGGGACATAATAAACTGAGAATCGTAGGAGTAAGGACATCATGTATGTCCTGTGAAATTTCCCCAATGGCCAGGACTATCCCCACAGTAGGATGAGTCAACCAGGACTGGAGTAGGTCTCACTACTTGGTCAAGGCTGGAAAGCCAGTGGAGAGCAGAGCCTGAACCGGAACCAAGGTCAGTCTACAGTCAGAGCAGGAGCAACTCCTCCCAGGTCACAGACCCTCTGCAGAAACGTTTTTCTTTTTTAAAATCAGCCCAATTTTCATAGCCCTGGCTTTACCTTGACCCTCCTACCATCAACACCCACACCCCTCACGTTGTAGACATTTCCACGACAGTAATGCAATGGAGGAAAAGGCACCAAGTAGTCCAAATATTTTTTTTCCAGATTCAAGTAAAGTCTGTAAAGGGTGAAAACCATTCATGCCAGGTCTCCTTGTGCTCCACAGGAAGCCGATGGATTCAAGGATCCCTGGATTGCTGAAAATAGAATTGTAAAAAATAAAAAGGGTGGTGGGAGAGAGCGAAGAAAACTAATCCTGTTAAACGTGGAAGGGTGTTTTTGTGGCTCGTAGGGAGGGATTAAGCACAGGAAAGGGGATAAGTGGGTGTTCAGTTTCACTAAACTAATGTGACAACTTGTCATT